GTGATTCTGAAGTTTTCAATCTGAACTATAAGGCAAATGAAACAACAATACATACATGTAAATTAAATAGGTGGTATTATGCTTTTTGGCTTTTTCCCTGTCCTTTATTGAGTTTATATCCTTTTTGTGCATGTATTACGTTTGCAAAGTCAGAAAGCCCAAAGTCCAACCCAAAGGGAGTTCCCATCTCCCACAGAAAACACTGCTGTGAACTGCCTGAAAACAGCTCGTTTGTAGGCCAGCTGAAATGCGCGTCATATAACGCTCGCCAAGCGGGTACTCCGACACTCTGGAAAAACATTGAGCTGCAGCACACACCTCTCCTCTCCCTTCCAAATTAGTTATCCTCCAGACACTCAATGGACATAAAGTTGTTACTGTGATGTAGAGACAGAGCTCAGTTATAACTTTATGAATGAAAGATACTATTGTTACAGATTAATAACTCACCAACTCTTGCTCCAGTCCATGTTGATGAGCTGGTAACGGGAACATATACAGCTAAACTGAAGCCGTGTTTACCGGCTTCTCACTGACCCGCCCTTCTCTGCTTCTGTTGGGCTAGTAGTCCTTAACTAAGAACTGCGCATGTGCAACTCCCAACAAAGATCATGTAAAGACAAGATGTATCACTCCATAGCTAAAACGAAGGGTTCAACACACAGGGTAAAAAGAGGAGCTGCAGCATTTTTGCAGTATGACAAAAAATATGGTGTTAAAATTAGGGCTGACCCCTAATAGTCGAAGATTCAATGCTTTGATTGGCGGAGTCTGATTCGACTGTCAATCTCACGGTCGAAGCTTCGCAGCGAAACAAGGATCATACCATTTTGGCGATATGGGGGTGCTCAACGTCTGATTTTACATAGAACTACCAGTTTTCTCCCAATAAGTTAATACAGCCTCTTACAATATAAATTTCAACGTTTAATGCTGTAAATAAACATGTAAAAAGAATAAAACTTTGAATAAATGTTTTTAAAAGTGCATAAATAAATCCAAAATTGTAACCCTAGGAACACTTGCTGAAGAGACTGAGCCCCGGGTTCACTGGTGTTTGGCCAAGTTGTCCGCACCTTGCAGGACTTTCTGAGAATTTCTCACCGTTGATGAACCTCACAAAGAATATTTTACCATTTTTAAATAGCCGGCTACTTGAAATAGACCCGCGGGGAACCGCGACGTGCATGTAGTTGTCGGCAGCACGGCATGCACGCAAAACTCACACAAGAGAGAGAATGACAGGCGAGAGAGAGAGAGAAAAGGGTCTTCAAAAAGCCTCAGTTTACAGTGTAAGTTGAATGAATAGAGACTGCAGCTCTGCAGCTTGTCAAGATTAAAGCGGAGCTACCGTGTGTACTTACGTATGAAAATAATGTATTTCAATGTGAAACATGTCTTTCTGCATGTTCTTGTTTTACAAGTCAATGTCAGATGTACTTATTGTTGTAAGAAAAAGTCCTTTTTGATGATCTGTTGTTTTTATGTACTAAGAGTGGTGAAATATTACATATTATAGTTGTGTGAATAGTACCATAGCGACAGAAAAAAGTTTATTTGTAACTTACTGATGGTTTTACTGATCATGTTGCCTCCACTTTGTTGTACTTCCAGTTGCTGTACTTCCAGAGCCCAGAAATTATTTGTCAATAGTATGATGTTATCATAAGCGATAGATATGATGGCTAAAACGACAGAAATCAAACTTAAGTTGGAATTAAGTAGAGTCCTTGAAAATAGATAGCATGAAATGGTCTTCCTCTAAAGAAACAAAACATTTTATGACTCATTACTTGACAAACATGCATGTGTTCATGCATGGGTGCAGAAGAGCAAACAGTCCCAGATAAAGAGCTAAAAGTCACACAGTCATGTGACAAAGGACTGTGATTAACCAAGTTGCTGATTGATTGATCACCCAGTTTGCCTTTCAGCGGCTTGTTTTGCTTCAGCCAATTATTGACATTTCTTTCCATTCTAAGAGGGCGGCTTTTATTTCTGAGAGAGTGTGTTGGCAAACTTCATTATGGACATGTTTGTTTGCGATTAGTCATCCAAGAACAGTCATGGGGGAAAGAAAAAGAGAGCAAAAGAGTGTGAGAGGTAAATAAAAGAAAAGAGATGATGTTATATTGACAAATGGATCTAATTAATAACTTGGGCTTTATCGTGTCCACTGGGAAAATAGGGCCTGGCCAGTGGTTGCCAGATGGAGGACTGCCATCCCCTCTTTCCAGTTCCTTTCATGGAATTATGAAGTGTAAAGTCAGTGACAGGAAATTATTGCAGTTCTCTGCACAATACCAAAACATGTCACTGCCATTTGACTGCGTCTATTCAGGGTGTGAAAGCAGGCCGACAATGCCGGTGTTAACACAGCAGACTGATAGGGTATGTGCTGCATGCCAGGATGCTGGCTGGTTGGAGTTGGCACTGTTGCTGTTGTCACGCTGGGGCTTGGAAACTCAGATTCTAGAAGGATGTGCAAAAGTCAGATTTCCTCTTTCCTGAGACAGTAGGAATCCAAAATATTTCTCAGACTGGAAGAGGTTATTCAGGATACAGAGGCCTGAACTTTCTCTGTGAATACACTCACTTTGTTTGATCCCATTATGTGCTGGCATGCGTGTCTTAGGTGGATAGCAATCAGATATCAAACAACTGGTGTAAAAACATCCAAAAAGTATTTGAGACGGGTTGAATCTGACACTTTTTGTGCTTATGGTATTTCTTAGCTAGCTCACCATTATTGCTAACTGTTTATTGTTGTGACTAAACTGCTAACGTTATAGTTTTTCTAACATTCTTGACAGTTATAGTAACATCTAGTGGATAAAACTACCCTCTTAACTGGAGTGCAGACTGGCATTTGCATGTAGCTGGTGAAAACCCAGATTCCCTTCAGATTCATGATCTAGCCAACAAAAACACAAATACTAAGTGTGTAGACCAAGGTGTATTAAGTCACATCTAAATCTAGATACTAGACTTGACAAAGAAATGACAAATGTAACTGGGACCTTTGTTAATTATTTAATCATAATTCACTGTTGTTTTTTTTATAGAGAAGAGTATCTTCCCCTTTCTGCTGGCTTTCTTTATTGTCAAAAATAGATCAGGTGTAAGTTTATAGATCTTGTTTGTTTTCCCTGTCCCCTGCAGGTGAGCTCAGTATGTTTTAGTATTATGTGCTAGCATGATCCATGACATTTTGTATAAAAAAAGAGTCTGAACACCAACATATACAAGACAAATGAACTGATCAAAATTATCCTGAGTCTGATGAGAGAGGAAGTTGTGCCTCCAATGAGCTTCAGCTTCCAGCTGAGATTTTGTTTTCACCAATAAGAAGCATCACTGAAACAGAAAACTATAATTATAATAATTCCGTGACTAAACCGAATGTATAAAAACACCCAGTTAATCACCAGATCTCTTTCATCTTGCGTCAGGGCTATGTGTTCAACAAGTGATCTGGTCATATTGGACTAATTAGTCACAGATCAGAGGCTTTGATGGACACAGTTTAAGTAAATGTTTCCATGCATCTGTCAGAGTCCTTATACCAGGCATTCCTTGTGGTTTTTGTGCTATACATTTTTGGAAATCCTCATTCTGAATCAACATCCGAGGCGAGATTGACCCAGGCTTTTATGATGTCGGGGGAGCTCATGTTTTTTCAATCAAATGTACTTACGTAGGGAAACTGGTACCACATGAGTTCATGGACAGACAGAGATACTGAACAACTCTTGTGTACACTTCATAAGTGTCTGATAGATTGATGACTTGTGCCGATTGTGAGGTGGGTTGCCGGGAAAAAGTACACTGGAAACATGCCATGCCAACCAAACTTACATCTACAACAATGACACATGCTTCATTTAACCAAGTCGGGGGTTCCTAATTTGGTTAAAGGTGCTAGTCAGGACTATTACAGACATGTTAATATGACCCATTTGAACTCCATCCCCCCTTTCCTCTCCTCCTCAGCCTGTGACAACAGTTCGGCAGAAAATGAAGGGGGTACATTTTTTATTTTAAGGTTTTTTAGTTTCTTAGTCTCACGGGGCAAAATATTGAGTGAAGACATTCTGTCCTCTGTACCACATTTTGGAGATAGCCTCAAAGACAAGTTAAGTCCATGTCTTACTAAGGGCACAACCAAAAAATTCTACATTTTTGCATTGAATGACTTTGAGTAAAAGCATCTTAATCTATAACTGTGATCCACTTTCAAGCATGTGGCAACATTGCTTTCTTCTATTTATCACAATGTTGTTTATGCAGTCAAATAAACCTCAAGTCTCTTATCCAGCTGTAAACAATTAATTGAGTTTGTCTTTGTTTTGTACTGCATGTGCAACACATTTAATGACACAATAATCTGGACTCAAATTATCCAAGATGACTGATAGCTATATGAGATCCATGTTTTTTTCTCTGCCATTGATGTGGTTTAGGGAAGGTAGACAAAATTACAGGATGGAATATTATCAGTAACAAAGTGCAACTGCATGTCATCCATGACTGCAAATTCAGATACGCTTGGATTTGCCTACTTCTCAGAGATCTATCACTATGCACTCAAGCCAGGTTGGCAAATTCTGACAAATTAAAGTACCTAAATATCCTGAAGTCTATTTGATCTGACATACATGTCAAAATAGGTAGTTTGTCATTGCCTCCCAAAACAACACATATGTGAGCATTTCCCATACCAGTCCAGTGACTGAACCTTACATAAGTCATGTGACCTAAGTCACATGCATGGTTAACGTTGCCCAATGGTTGCAGTTCGGTTAGGTTTAGGCAACAAAACTACTTGGTTAGGTTTAGGAAGGCATAGTGGTTTGGGTAGTAAGTAGGTAAGTATGTTAACTCACGTGACGGAAGTCAGTAATGCTATTAAACTTAAAACTCAAAATAACTTTTACTTGGTTTCACATGGGATGTTCTCCTATTTACTATTTGTAATACGTCACCTCCTTTGCGGCCACTAGATGTTGCAGCCACAATAAACATAAATATATTTAATAGTGGCAGCCTCTGGGTAAAACCTGGTCATTCATTAATAAAGCCAATGTTTAGTGTCCTTTTCACTTAAAACAATTGTCTGTCAGTGTTTATGGAATGCAGAAATAGTTAAACAGTTCCTACACCAATACAAGTTTTTGAGAAGTCTTACTGGTATGTTGTTTTTGCATTTGTAGTGACCACCAGATGTCATTGAGAAAGTATTCACAGGTGAACTGACTTTTTAAGAGAGACAGGGGTTTGTCCTTTTATTAATTTGGGGTTGGGAGTCTAATTTCATGTCTATATTTGTTGCAATCTACAACTGTTTTATTTTCTCTATTACTCTCCAGGTTCTAGAAGAAAGGATGAAGCTAGAGTGCAAGTGTCACGGTGTGTCAGGCTCCTGCACCACCAAAACCTGTTGGACTACACTTCCCAAGTTCCGTGAGATTGGCTACGTACTTAAGGACAAGTACAACGAAGCTGTGCACGTGGAGGTAGTTCGGGCTAGTCGACTGCGCCAGCCCACCCACCTCAAAGTGAAGCAGACTCAGGGCTACCGCAAGCCCATGGAGACAGACCTTGTCTACATCGAGAGGTCGCCCAACTACTGCGAGGAGGATGCAGCCACAGGGAGTGTGGGCACCCAGGGACGACTGTGCAACCGCACCTCGCCACATACAGACGGCTGTGACCTTATGTGCTGTGGGCGGGGCTACAATACACACCAGTACACCAAAGTGTGGCAGTGCAATTGCAAGTTCCAATGGTGCTGCTTCGTCAAGTGCAACACGTGCAGTGAGAGGACGGAGGTATTTACCTGCAAATAAGGACCAGAGGAACTCAGTGCCAGGAAGTGAGGCACCAAGGACTAGCTGAATAAGGAAGAGTCAAGCGAGCGATAAATGTGTGACATGGACCAGTGAAAGATTTTGAAATAAAGGAATGGAATTTACACTATCAGCTCTTCATGGCATCGTTTTGCACAGCAGAATCTATCTAATTTCTTTTCAGAAAGTAAATGCTAAATATCAGTAGGTAATACCCATGAGCTTTACTGTCACATAGAGATTGTCCTCCTGTACTGATGTATCCACAGTGAAGTTGGGACTACAGATAATGAATGAGACCCTTAGTGGGAACTGTGCTTTGCACTCTGGGATTGTAATTGTTGAATTCACAAGAGACTTGTGCATGGAGAGAAAACAGAGTAAACTGGGAATTGATCAAAATGACAGCAGCTGATGAGGTTGTGACTGGGAGAGATTTGTCAAGTTTTCGATAGAAAACTTTTAAGGGTTTTGTCATATTTTCACTAAAGGGGAGCAAAAGTGAATCTTGGCATGAATGACCCCCCCAAATTGGCTGGGACGTATGTTGGAGGTTTGTAGAAATGAAGAACATTTTGTAAGTATGGTGCGTTGGGGTGCGCCAAAATCTGAGTGGAGAACTCTGTTAAACCCTCTGCTGCCAACTGGAATATGGTGGAGTATGTTAGTTTTCCAGTCACACTGGAACTGTCTGTTCTGAACACTGAAAATAAATTGTTTATTTATGTTATAGTATCTTAAAACGAAGCACTAACGGGTAGAGATGTCTTTTTTGTACTAAGTGTAAAGAAAAATACTTTTTAGAAACTCTGACTGAAGATGTGTGTCCATCAGAAAATTATCCCCCAATCCCTAAAACACCTCATCTTTTCATAAAAAGAAAAAAAAAAGGTTACATTTCTACTGGTGTGTTGACAACATCATTACAGTGTGCTTTCACATTCAAACACCTTGATTCTATTTTACTGTAGCATAGTTTGTGTGCAGTCCTTTTCTCCAAGCGATCGATTTGGATGATTTTGCAATTTCAGTTAAAAGACAGTAGCAAGAAAAAAAAATCAGTTAACTGCAAAGATCCTTCCTCAATTTATTAAACATGAAACTGATATGTTGCTGGATGTGTTTTGAGTGCTGCACTGATATTTTCTATTCAGATACAACTCATAAAAACTAAATAAACTCCCATTTGACTCAGTTTGGCAGTTCATTGCTAAAATAGACGATGATTACAACCACACACCCAATCATATAATAGCAGAGGTAACAAAACTTAAAGAAGAGATTATTATTATTATTATTATTATTATTTAACCTATTATTCTGCTGGACAAGAGTTTATAGTTTTTTCACTTGACACAAGGCTAACTTTGGTCTGATGATTTACACTTGTTTTTTCTCATTAGGGCTACAGTGGATATTTATATATGGCTAAATTAGCTCTGCTCTTATTTTAGGAGTTTAGGATAGCAGTTATAATAACCACAGTAATTGCTGAGATCCGGGAACAGTGATACAACAAAGTCAGACACGTCAAAAAATAACAAGAAGTCGGATGATGAGAAATTTGAGAAAGGTTGTAAAGACAATAATGAGCAGACCCAAAAACTAGGTTATAGTCAATGCACAACGACAGCCAGTATAATCGGTCAAAGTTGAACCAGTCCGTCACCTGTGATGGATGGTCTGAACAGACAGTGGGAGTAATACTTTTACTGTTCGCCTTTATTTTCTCTTCCTAAAAACTCAAGTTAACTTCCATTTTTGCAATGTCTCAGCATTCCCAGAACATTGCAATTAACTTGGTAAGAACAATGTTATCATAATTGATAATAATTATGGCCAAAAGGAAAACTATTTCTTGACAAACAGAGGTACCTTTGTGCAGTGTCAGCGCTGGTGACTCCAGGAAGTCAGAGCGCCATGATGTTGTTCTCCAAGAAATTATTACAGCATTTAACACCCCTTAAAACCATAAATTATCCTTTTTACATCTTTGTGCTAGAGGTGTTGGTTGGCGTATTTCTGTATATTTTTGTATATCTTTGGAGAGAGTCAAACTAGTTGTTCCACCCTGCAAAGTGAAGCTCCTTTCTTCTGGCTCTACCTCCAAACTTGACTCACAGACACAAGAGTGGCCTATCTTCTCATCTGGCTCTTGGCAAGAAAGTGAATAACTGAATTTCCCAAAATGTTTAATTATTCTTTCAATTCATGCAGTGTGAAAGAAGAAAACCACAGGCTAAACCTTGGCTTTGGGCTGGCAATGGGCAGTGCTTTGTGGCACTTGTTATAACCACTTTTTGTTTCCTTGGCATATTCATGTTGTTGCTGGCTATTCAGTTTTAATCTATAATACCATATTTTTCAAGGTCATGTGAGGTTTACAGACTATACAGGCCAGTTCATATGTTGGTTTACATATTAATTAATATGTTTAGAATGTATAATAACTTTTGCACATTAGTAATTACCACACATTTAAGTGATAAAGACTGACGTAGCCTAGTCTTACACTTTGCATGATTAATCATCTAGTGCAGTTAAATATGTTGTATATGCATCAGTCTTTAAATTATTTTATTTTATTAGAGGTGCTACTCAGATGGATCACAGTTGTCATGTAAATAGATTTGCATATTTTCTCAGTTAAAGTAACTTATCTTATTAATATAACATATCTAGCATATAGCCTCATTCTGACATTTATATTGTCTTCTGAAATAGATTACAATAACTCCAACTTGAGGCAACTGAAAAGAATCATGTTTCCTTGACAAGGATGCAGATTTCCACACAAAAAGCTGATGTGTCTTTAATTCAATGATGAATTGTATTATGAAACATACAAGAAAGCTTATCCTTGAACCCAGGAATCCACATTCTTCATTTTATTGCTCAACACATGTTGGTACAAGAATGTTCCCGTTCAGCATTCAGTTGCCCATATTGACTGTTTCAACAAATATCCAAAGCTATTATTTTCATAAATTCTCTCCCTTTAAGAAAAACACACACATTAAATCTGGTCATTATGTGTGTCCAGAGTAGTAGTGTGTTTGAAGCCAAACATTATGTAGAAGTCTGTTATTCAAACATTCTAACCACGCTTAATATAGTAACTGGCAAATGCGTTAGGGACCATAAATCATTAAAAATCAAAAATAAATAAATCACGCAGTGTGCTGACTTTGACGTTATTTTCTACACAGCACATTTTTGTAATATGCTGTGGTCTTCTGTCTTGATTGTGGCACGCACGGAACAGAAGTCAATTATCTCTCCCAGCATGGAAAGGAGTGTCTTCTCCATGTCTGTGTCAATCAAGCAAGCAGGAACAAGGATTATGGAAACTGTTATTTTCCATTGAAAATTAAAAAGCAATGTCTCCCAACAAAATGAATCCATATAAACTGTGCAAAATGTCATTATTCATCAAGGTGGAAATGTTTTTAGTTTAAGGATGAAAAGCACCCATGCTACTTATTCAGGGGTTGATTGGGGTTGTCTGGCTTGGGTGGTCACAGCCACCTGTGACACCCACATTAACTCTTCTGGCTCATCACTTCGCACATTTGTTTTCTGTTGTGGTTGGAATGGCAGATGATATTAGCAGTATTTTCTGTTCATGTGGTACAATTCATGATACTCAGGATAAAATTAATGGGGATTTAGGAAACAGAATATCTGGCTCAACACTCGAGCCTATCCTCATGCTTTCTGTGTTGGCAGAGACATTAGGAGTCTGTAAATTGGAAGAGGACCTACATGCAAATGACCTGATGTGAAAAGGAAGTGGCTCAGTGTGCCTCTTGTTTTTAGACACACAAACAAGAGTGTAGTTCTTTTGTGAGGGTGTTTTTGAGATGGATGAGATGGCTTGATGAAACAAGGAGGTGCATGTGTAGCCGGAAACTGCATGTGAAAAGAGTGGTTATTTAGGAGAGGAGCTAATTGAGAGTGGTTTGGAGAAAGAGTGGGTACACTATATAAGTAGGAGCAGCTGTCGAACCAAGTGTGCAGAGCATGGTAAAAGATTTTTCAGCAAACATTTAATTAATCATTTTCACTTTATCTAGCCTTTGAATTGATGTACTCTGTGGAATATTGCTTATCACAGAAAATCAAAAAGCATAGAAGTTTTTTTTTTGTGGCAGTGAGGGATTTTGAAATCCAATACTTAAAAATAATTCATATCATTCATAAAATACCATTTTTGACATGATCACTGTCAGTTGTTCCATTCGGTGCTTTCTATGAAGTGAAAGACAGCCATGCTATTTCATTCATTTGCTGGATCCTCCTGTATGTGAAAAGCATTGTAGGCAGGCAGCAGAGCAGAATTAAGATGTGTTTTGTTAGTTGTCTGAAGCCCTGGGGACCGGAACCACATAAGCTCCCTATACTATGCCCTGGATTGAGAAAAATAAATCCATTTGTTTCTGACAAACATTTTGTCATTAAAAATATGAGATAGAAAAACAGAGTCTGCTGTGTGTGCCTTCTTCTAAAGCAGCTATTGTTTAGGTGTCAGGATCATTAGTTCATTGGGATATATTCTGCAAGCTAATGCTTCTGGTCTAATTCACACTGGGAGTGACGCACCCAGTTTTCCAATTCAGGGCCCAGATGGGAGGAAAGACAGTTGCGAGGTAATATGACAGCTAACATCCCTAGAGAGGATATTAGCTTATCTGCCAAGGCCATGCATAAACTTTATGCAAATGTATCATATGATTCTGCTATTCAGTTCAATGGCAAGACATTTCAGGGTCTTTAATGCTTTGGGAAAGCAGGGTACATTCAATTGACTCCAAAGAGGATGTGAAGGAGTCACAAGACTGCCAGTTTTTATTTAAACAGATTAAAGAGAACTGGAAAAGAATATGACAGACAGAAAAAGAAAACTGAAAGAACTTGTGTACGCTAGAAGTGGTCATTGATTTCCTTGTCCTGTGAAAAATTAAAATGATTTGAACCAATAAAGTAGCCCAGAACAAGTCAATCCTCATGAGTAATTTCCTCATTTGGCTGATAAAACCACTTACTCTCTGCTGTAAAGATAATTTATAAAGGCTGTCTAGGTATGTGAATGGAACTTAGCCAAGGGCATATAAAACAACTTTTAGTTTAGATTTTTATTTGGTGCTTGTTGAGAGCAACATTGCTTCAAGTCATTTTTTCTAATTTTCTTCCCTGTTTTGCGAAGTGACAAAACCCCTCCCAAATTCCTTTGAATTAGCTCCAACATTCTGCCTCTAGTAATTTGTAACTTTGGCAAAGTGAGACAACAATGTTCAGATCAGAAGCTTGGCTTCTCACAGATAAGACACATCTGCAAGAGTGAGGGAAGAGAAGCACGGGTGGCAAAAGAAATAAACTACCCAAATGGGGGGATAAAATTAAAAATCGAGGAGTCAGAGGTCTTCTGAGTTGGTGCTTGAGATTAGCCAGACACCAAGTTAGAAGAAAAGGATTGCTGTCTTCCACACTTCAATTACAGACTTCTCCTCTGTTGAGTAAAGGGAAGTTTAACAGTCCTATGGATGATGGATTATTCTGGGGCAATCCTTTAAGTCTTGTTTGTTATTTCAGGATGTGAAGGCTTTGGTTAAGGTGATGCAAAAACATGTAAATACTACTGTGCTTAAAACATCTCTTCACTCTCCAACAGCTCCCGTGGACAAAAATGTAATTACTCTTTATGCCATGATAATGTAGGTTCAAAATGTTAAAATTCTCAACAAAGCAGAAGAACACACAATACAGTTTAAAGCTGCCCGCAACACAGCCTGCAGCAATTAAGAACGTATAGTCGCTTGGTGTTTTTCTGTGTTCCTTTAACTTTGTTTTGACTGCTTGTCTTAGTGAAAGACCATCATTTGGAGGTTTCTCATCATCTGTTTGATATTAGTGGTGAGGAACATATGGCCATTCAAAGGCAGAGCCCTGTGTGACATCATAGACCACAAGGCAAAGTGGGGATTGTCAAGACCCCAGACTGAGGACTCTGAACACTACCTGACTGCCTCCATCCATCTGCAACTGTATAGTCCAAATAATGTGCCAGCGTGGGTCTCTGTTTCTGACGCATGCTTGGGGTTTTTGCAGAACTGTGTGTTGTCTATTCTGCACAGTTGATATCTGAGAGGCCGTTTTCCAGAATATCTTCAGTGTCATATAAAAATAACATGCAG